AGTTTATTATATGTCATTATTGATTTAGTAGATTCTATAATTTTGAATTTCACTGCAGTATACTGTACAGTAGTACTGAATCATTGAACAAAGTTTTTGTCAGTGATGCAAACAACTTACAAAACGTGGCTGCACTGGGAGAGAAATTGCGCATTTGTTTCGTGTTTATGAGCAACGTACAGCAATCACCGTAACTACCCAGCCTATTAACTTGAATAACATGATACGTTTTCATCATCTTGAAGACTCATTTGGCGGTTTACTGCTGTAGTCTATAATTAGACAAACAGATTAGATTACGTAAATTTATAGTAAGATAAATGGCCTTCATAATTAAAATCTTTAATGTGGAAGTAATAGAGTTAATCCTAAATCAAAGGCCTGGATTCTCAATTTTGGAATCTGGATCAAATCTGACCCACCAGAGAATTGACACCAACCTGGTGTAAAAGTACAGTAATATTTGTGATGAAGTAGCTATACTCTGCATGGCCTTTGAAAATAATGCAGGAAATGTATATTTAAAAATCCATTATCACTGTGTAGTGTGTCACGAATATTGTATAACCATTCAAATACAATACCATAGGTTTGCAATTGTGATGTCGTTCTATGTGGCATATTATTGTTGGTGTCTGTGTCAAATGATCTTGATTATAGCCACATTAAATAGCTAAACAAGGGGCGGATGAGCTCCTCGGAGCCAATGGCCAAACCGTGCTTAAGTGAATAGGTTTAGTTAGATAAGTGTTATTTTCTTGGTACGTTTTTCATGTTTATGTTCCATAGAGGTCCATTAATATGCGCTCTGCAAGTCGACCATTATTATTATTATTATTATTACATTTGACTTGCTGTAGCTTTGGTGAGGTTCCCTGTACTTTACTTAAAAATATCATCCATTAATATAATGCCAATCAACAAAAATGAAGACAAAAAGGCATGGTCAACTTGACCCAGTCCCCATCTATGGTGGGCAGTGTTTGGTGATGGCCCTATGTTACATTTATGCGTCATAGAATTGTAGGGGGTGGGGGTGAATTTGTTGACAGGGTGGTCTAACAACAATTGTGGAGTTAAAGTGAGAAGCCCTGGTCTGGCTTCAAGCAGCTTAGGCTCCTGGTTGCCTAGAAAACTGCAATTTTTATCAATTTTAAGCATTTCATGTTTTATAATCTATTGGCTAATGGAGCTTGGCCTGTTCCAGACCACCTAATCTTGGCACCGCCACTAGTATTTACAATACGCTGGCCCGCGCACCAAATACTAACAGTACGAGTTAATCTAATTAATTTTGGTTCTTTTATTTGAAGATGAAAGTTGATTTGTAATGTGAGTGAGATTGTGACATGGAGGCTGGAACTTCTGCCCAGGCGAACTTCAACTTTGACACGACAGACGTGGACGAACTACCTTTGCAGTCAGGGGACATTGTTCAAATTATAGAGATCGTTGATGAGAATTGGGCAATCGGAACAGCTAATGGAAGAACGGGACGATTTCCTACCAGCTTTGTGTCACCCGTCGAAGAACCAGGCAGTGCAGGAACTAATTATCACAGTGGAGAGTTTGTTGTTGCTATAGAAACATTCTTAGCTGACACTGATGGTGACCTTGGTTTTAACAAAGGTACAGTATTTGTCCATGTCTTGTCTTCTACACATGTTATTTTAATATTGTATTTGTAGTTAACAAGCCTTCTAATTTTATTAATACACAATATGCATGTGGACAGCTCCAATATACTGTACTAATAATTATTAAAATTAGTACTTTTTAAATTTTTTTTATTGTTATTTATTTTAATTGGATATTTATTTACTGTTTTTATTGTTGTTTTTGCCGCTTTTATTTGATTATTGTTATAATTGTTGGTTTTTTTTGTCAAAAAATATAATAAACGTTACAAAAGAAAATACAAGGCAAGTTTTACAAAAAAAATAACTGGCAAATAATTATGAAACTAAAGTCAAGAATAACAAAAGTGGCAGAGCCACTGTCACCCTAAAAGAATGTGTTATTCCGTATTTCTATTGTCATAATTGTTGTTTTCTAAAAATATACTTATGGCCATGATAACAATAATGATATCTGAGCGAAGAATAAATAACAGTTTAAATAATATATTGTTTTAAGGTTTGCATGGCATAATAATTAATGTATGTGGCAAAGACGAGCCAAACCAGTCACTCGTCGCAAATATTGATTTTTAGATACAGGGTTAATCAGGAAATTGAGATGAAATGGTGAAAGATTCATTTAAATCCAATATTTCGTTATGAAGTTACAAGAGTTTAAACATACAGCTGTTTAAAGAATAGTATTTGAGAAATCAGCCTTCAAAGTTTATGATTTCGGGCATTTCTTTAGCAGAAACCATCACCAAACATTGTTGTTTTAAAATTGGAATTTGGGGAGAATAACGGCATAGCATGATGTATAGAATAGGTTAGTTAATAGTGCAATAAAGTAGATTTCCAAATTTTTGATATTTCAGCATGTTTTGGCCATTATCTCCGAAACAGGATTTGCGACGATGACTGGTTTGGCTTGTCGTTGCCACATTATTAATGCTTGCGGTACACCACATCGATACAATTCTGAGAAGAACTGTTGTTTGTTGAGAACGTCTCAATTTATATTATAATTAATCAACATTTTTAATGTTGTCATGTATTGTTATTGTATCATATCCATAAACTGTATTAAGTGGTGGTGGTTGTAATTGGATTTAATTGAAATATAATATATCTTGCGTTACTTCCAAGATTTCATTGCTATCTCAGCAACTTCTTCAGGGAAACTGATGTATTTACACAGATCAAATTGTCACATGATCACTCAAGCATGAAATTGAATTTGAATAATCATGTTACAACAATTCCTCCAGTACTGCCGGTAGCTTGTATCCACAGTCATGATTGAGCGTGGGATGCCAAGTCCAAATTTCCATAGACTTTTTCTTCCTTGGCAAATACTTCTCTTCTCGCAGGAGAGCGAGTCATATTCATTTGAGTGATTCTATGGTTACTGTAGCTTTAATATGTTCCCCTACTGCAGTGAGTGTTTCCTTTGGTTTTCACATGTTCAAAAAACTGGATTCCAATCATCTGGCAGCTTCACCCTCATACTGTATATTTCATTGAAAAGTGTAAATGTAACAATAATAAATGTCACATGATATTCTCCATACTTTCACCCTGTCAATCGATCAGTCAGTCAACCAATAATTTATTTGTGTTGCTTGCTTGCAATTTAATCTGCTTAACCTGAATACCTGTATATAAAATCACATAAATTTGATTAAAATCATTAAAAAAAAAAACTATATATTTTCAGGTGATACAATTGAAATTGTCACACAAGTAGATGAGAATTGGTTGAGAGGTCGTATTAATGGCAAAGAAGGAATTTTCCCGTGTACTTACATCATTCAACATGGAGGGACAAGTCAAAGTGGTAAGCAAAATTATTTTACATTTTTTAATTGATTTTGTAACTTGATATTACAGTTATAGTTATAGATTTGATGAGGACATTGGTGCTGATTTTCACATTCAATTTTAATCCATGTTTAAAAAAAAAAGGATTAAAATAGTCCTATTGTTATAGTTTTAATACATAGTTCTTATATAGTATATAAAACATTTTTTGTTTGATAATAGAAAATGATTCAATAAAGTCATGTTTATAAAATTTACTGCTGTACCACCTAATGTACCATCTAATCATGTATTTTTCACTTCAAGTAACATGTATTTTGTCAATGAAAAGTTGTGTATTCTAACATTTCTTTGTGTTAATCAAAGTTTTGGTAATTCCAGTTGATTTGCTGTAGTTAAAGGTACTGGGTATGAACAACATGATTCCATGCCCTTAAACAACCCATTCATTTGCATGAGCCTTGATACAGAGTCACTGTCTACCAAAAAAAATTGGGGTTGGGGAAACCTAAAACTTAAATAAAACTATGAATAGCTCAAATAAGATAGTAAACAATAATTGTTGATTTCTTTTTAAGGTTTAACCTGCAGAGTGATTACAAGCAGCGTTGGCCAACTCAGTGATGAATTAACTGTCTCTGAAGGTGATGTCATTACTAATTTGGAAAAGGTTGATGATGATTGGTTTAGAGGAAGCTGCAATGGCAGAACAGGATTGGTTCCAGCTCTGTGTGTAGAAATCATTGAAGATAACACCCATGGTGGCAACACTGCCAGTGTTAATTTTAATTTAGAAGACTTCAGTTCAGTAGTCAAGCAGGGTGAAGACATTAGTCATGTTAAATCTGAAGCAATTGGCACAGAACCTTCTGTGACAGAATCTTCCGGTAGCTCCCAACCGTCAGCAATATCACTCTTTCCCTTTAGTGCAGAGTCCAAAAAAGAATTAAGTTTCATGGACAATGAGCAAATCAGACTTTTGTATCGAATTGATAACGATTGGCTCGTCGGAAACATTGATGGCAATGTTGGGATGTTTCCAGCATCGTTTGTCAACGTGGTCGTTGATGTTCCGGACGGCTATGATGAACGACCACAGAGTTACAAAGACTTGTGTAAAACTGGTGTGAATTCTAAAGAAATTGAATCAAACAATAGTAATAATATAGAGAAGCCTGGTATTCTTGAATTACCTAATGCAAATCAGGGAAAGAAAGGAAGAGTGCTTTTTGATTTTGAAGGACAGACTGAACAAGATCTAAGTGTCAAAAAAGGGGATGTCATTACAATTGTTGAACAATTGGACACTGAATGGTATGAGGCTCAGAATGATATGGGTAGTATTGGTTTCATTCCAGTAAGTTATGTTAAGGTATTGGAGAAACTAAAGTCTCCATCTTTAAAACGACAAGCCCCACCTCCACCCATTAAGAAAAGAACCCCTGTCGGTAAGAAACCCCCACTTCCCGCCAAGTCGGCGAAGGCTGCTGAATTGGTGCCAAACATTCCTAACGGAGCGAGTGAATTGTTAGATATTTTTGGACCCATTCCGGATACTTCAGGTAATTCCAAGGATAATTCCCCAGTAATTCTGAGCCCAGTAAATAGACCAAAGCCAGCATTAGCACCTAAGCCATCTCCCACTCACAAACCAGTTAATACTGTGACAAACTTACTTGACTTAGACCCATTCCCAGTCACTGACACAACAAGCATTCCTTCATCAGGTCCATCAGGAAATTCTTCAAAACCAGTATTTTTGCCATCAAACCTTCCAAGAACAGAAAAACAAGGTGCGTCTTCTGTAAGCCCTTCAATTTCAAGTACAGTGGGCTCAACGCTTATTGATTTTAGTCCTTCGGACAAACCGCAAACGTCTGTATTAACTCCAGTCATTCATAATTCAAGTGCAATAACAACAGACCAGCCACAATCTCCAACAAAAGTGATAGTGAAGCAAGGGTCTGTTGATAGTCTCTCTGGTATTCTAACTGCCAAGCCATTTGGTGCTGCATCAACTACTGTGCGATCAGTGCATAGGCCAGTCGCAAAGACCTCCCCAGAAAAGCAACCAGCACAAAGTAACTTCAGTTCAGGAGCAGTAGATATCTCCCTCGCTAATGTATTCAACCAGAAAGTAAATAGTGCATTTGATTCTGTGGACCCTTTGCTGGAATCATTTGGAACACCAGTTACTACTTCAGATTCATTTAATCCATTCAATGCAAATGATAATCAGCAAATAATTCCTTCAAAAAACACTGCACAACCATCCACATCAAAAACATCAGATACAAGCTCCACAGCTCGGAACATTACTCCATTTTCAGCAGCTGTTGAGGAGATCTTCGCCAAGGGCACTAAAGAGAAGGTTCCGCCTATTCGCCAACCATCACCGAATCCATTTGCGCCAGCTACAGTGGAAGAAAGCAAAGATTTGAATAAGGCGTCAGCAAATCCTTTCAGTGCTGAAGATAACTTGGGATTTTGCGATGATTTTGAGGTGGATACTCAGCTTGGTAAAATGCCAAGAGATGAAAGCGTGAACTCTGAACTCTCATCTGATGATTTTAATTCTTTGATGCCAAGTTTTGTTATTAAACCAGTTGATACTATTGAACCACCATCTGATACAAAATCAGCCTTTATTTTACCTCCTCCCCCATCACCTGCTAAGCGCACCGGATTACATATTGATAAACCAAAACCAAAAAAGTTTAATCAGAATTCAGCCGTACCTCGTCCAAGACCTCGCCCACAGAGCATGACGAATAATGGGCAAGGTGGTACTTATATTCCGGAACCAAGTTTCCCCTTGATTGCATCTCAGCAGGCACTATTAACAAATGACCTAGTTGGTTTTGAGGTCAGTTCCAACTCTGCAACTGATATTACAGATGATGATGCTGGACAACCACCTCCTGCATATCCCCCACCAGAACTCCCGTCTGATGTCGATGGTAAGTAATCTGAATAATTTGATGATTATTATATTATTATGATATAAATATGTATAAATCCATTTATTATTAAGGTTGTAATTTCGCAGCACTGGAGCCAGACCCATATAAAACCAGGGCTCTCACTCCGCCCGATGGTATGGAGAACACAGCGGCACGGCGCACACACAAAGAATCGTTTTCGGTGACGATCCATTCAGACTGCAACCGACAATCAGCAGACAACATCGTGTCATCTAGCACTCACAGGGAGTGGAGTTAGATTTGTAGTATGACCGTCTTACAATGCTGTGAGCGCCCAGCTTTACATGAGTCGGATTAACCTTCCCACAAACAATTAAGCTCTACTTTTATGTCAAGTAAAATATTAAAAGTTTTGTATATATTCTTAGGCGTAAACAAATGTCGGGGACAATTTTGAGTGCATGGCCGGGATTGTGTGTCTTATCATCTCCGACATTGCATAGGAAGAGAAAAATTTCACTGCCTTTTCTCAAAAGTAACAGTATACTTTATAATCAATGCTAAGCGACATAATGGTGAAACGGAATAATGTTAAATATTGAATAAATTAACTTTATTAAATTTGTTTTGGTCATTTTTTAGATGGTATACTGACTGATGAATCGTCGCTAGTTGTTGGTGACCTCCTGGGTCTAGTTGGTTCTGACACCGTACAAGATGAAGATGTAAAGCCTAGGAGAAGTGCACCCTCTAGACCACTCAAAGAACCGACAAAGAAAAACGTCCCTCCCCGACCAGCGCCACCTAGACCAGTAAACATGCCAAGGTACCAACCATATAAACAAGGCGAAGAAGAAGTACTTGTACAAAGACAGGGTAATAAACATTTCTAGATATTAATTTTACAATGTTTTTACCATGTAAATCAAGACCTTCTAGAGACGTGTTTCTACTGAATATCTAGAAAGAAAAGATTCTCCTATTGTTTTATTATCGGAAGCAAGACAAGAACTGCATTGCAACTGCATTTTTGATTCCACATGAAACGGTTTCTTGACTGATATACATACAACAAACCCAAAATGCAATTTAAAATGACCTTTTATAAAAAAGGCTTTAACAAGACAACAATATTTTCGCTACCAAGATAAATCAAACAATGAAGATTCCTCCGGTTCGAATACCAGCTCATGACGGTACAAATAGAACATTTGTTAAACTTTAGTTCTTACACTACTTTGAACAAAAGAGAATATTTTGTTGAGAAGTTTGACATTTGTTCTACTGATTCCTCCTAAAAAGAAATTATGATATTGTCAGTACTATATCAGTGATAGGCCTACTGGATCACTGGACTAGTGGAACACATCCAACATTTTTGGTGATTATTTAAGAATATGTCCAAAGGTAAAATGTAGGAGGTCTAAATTATTGACGTCTGAAGTATTTTACTAAGTCTGATAAGAATTAACTCCCAATTATGTCCTTTTCAAAAATTCTACTAGTACTAGACATAGACCTACAGTACTGGCTAAGCTGATCTTAGGTCAAATTAGGCCGCTATTTATCTTACCGTTCTTTTGGACCCAAAAAAATAAACAAAAACCAAAAAGAACGGTTCTTTTTTGTGGCCCCATTTCTACTGCCACAAAGAACCATTCTTAAAAAGGGACGGCCCTTAAGAACGGTTCTTTTTTGTCAGTAGAAACAGGCCCAAGGAATGCTGTAAAGGTCACCCTATATGAATATTGTTTTAAGAAAAACAAAAGAACATTTTTTCACGTAATATCCTTTGGTACTATTTCAGAAGATGTTACAGCAGTAGATGCTTCCCAAACAAAGGACATGGTTGCAGCACTAAAAGCAAGCATGGCAGAGTTTCAAAGTGAATTGGAGGTTAGTAAGAAAATGTTAGCTTTGATAGGCATACATAGCAGTAGTCTAAACTTGCTAAAAAGTGTTGGTTTCAAAATTGTCAACTGCACGGGTGTATGTGGGGAGTGGGGGATGGTGGCAAATTCTGTCTTCTATCTTCATAATGTTGCACTCATTTGACACTTTCTTTGTAGATGCACTGCTTCTTCCATTATTCATGCTTTTGTTTCATCCATTCATTCTCTTTTTTACTCACTACCTAAATCCAAAATTTACAGACTCCTATAGGCTTCAAAACTCTGCTGCATGAATTATAACATTCACAAAACATCGCTCTCACATCACCCCTGTTCTGCAAGACCTACACTGGCTTCCCATTGATTCCCGCATTAAAGTCGGATGAAAAATGATTTGATATGTTGTAGATCTGATTTTTCTAAGACAGAAAAAATTTGTTTGACGAAGAACTGGGGAACGGTGAATGAGATACAGATTTTTAAATATCAGTTCTACAACATATCAAAATTTTTTTTTCCTTTTGAGCCCGACTTTAAGTTCAAAATCTTGCTATTTACTTTCAAAGAACTCTGTTTAAGCAACCTATCTGCATTCATTAGATCATCTTATAATTTTTTTGCTTTCCATTCCCTGCACATCGTAACACTTTTATTGTGTCTATCAACGATGAGTCTAACCTTGGCATTTCTGAGTCATACTAATTAAATCATTAAAGCGACAATGGAGATTTGCCAGAACAGACCCATCTCAAATTGTTTTCCATGAAAAAATTCCTGTCAATACAGTACAGAACCCAGATTTTACAAATTTTTTGATTTAACAAATTTTTGATTTTTATGTACACCATTCACCGTTGAAGTTATCGATGAATGCAAAAATCTGTTTTTTTAACACCTAATATGTCAGAAAAAACATTCTAGATTGTGAAATAAATTGTTCCTGTGCGTTTGAACTATCATTTTATTTGTGTTTCTATATTGTTAGTCCTTTGATCATAATTTTGATTATCAGCAATGGCAATTCGTGCAAAAACACATGCTTAAATTATGGAGAGCTACAAAAAAATATATTTGAAATAGGTTTTTTCATCTTAAAGGAACATTTGATTCCCAACTAAATCTTTTTAAAGTTTTGTCCTGGTTTTCTGTTTTCATTGTTTATTTTTTTTTGCTTCCCGCACTGAAGATTGCCAATTATTTTTTTTAAAGTTTTTAAAAATATTTAAAATTGCTTTTTGTATCACTTAGTAAAAAGTCATGGTACACATTTGTCAATCTACAAGTGATGTTTTTTTTTTCTCTTAACTAAATACCATACAAGGCTTGCATTCTCAAAACCAGCGTATAGTCGATAAATGTTAAACTGAGTACTTAGCGTAAGAAAGTGTCAGTATTATTGTATACTTTAGTACAGAGAAGCCGTAATACTTTTACTCATAACTTTGGCAATAAGTCGATTCCAGTAAGCGACCTATCATGTTAGTGCTTATATTGTGTGGAATATGAATATATTAAAAGCCAATTTTCTTGCCTTAGTCACTGATGCAAGTTTTGGCATGCGGCTGTTCCAATGCAAAACAATGTAACTGCACAAAAATACAATATTGTTGTTGTTTTGCCATTTGATGGCTTTGTTGATAAGCTTTAAAGTGGATACTGCTATGTTTCAACCTATTAGGTGCTAGCAGGTGATGGCAAAATAAATAAATAATAAGATTTGTAAATGTAACATCTTACCTTGAGTAGCTTCCAAGGCCATGTTTATGGCGAATTTGAATATTAAATAAATATATATTATTGTATGCTCTTTAATTTGTAGAGACAAACCAAAGAGAAACAGCAGCTGGAACAAGAGATGTCTTTCCTCGAGTGTGATGCATCCGACAATGTAATGGTTGAAAAATACAATGAAGTTGTTCACAACATCACTCAACTGACTGACAAAGTAGCATCACTAAAAGGTTGGTAGCATTCCTGTTCCTAAGGTTTAATTATGTTCTGTCTTCTACACAATTCACACGAGAGGTATAATCTACTAAGTATTAACAGGGATATCTATTCTGATATTTCCCTACTGAGATTCTTTGCTTGAACACAACTTAATACAAATGCTGGAAAAAGTGAGTATCATGGACATTTCCGTAATGTCAATCAAACTTATCTGGATTTTTCAAAAAATGGACCCATTTTATGCATAAAATTACATAATTTGGACCCATTTTTAAAAATGCGGACCCATTCTTTGTGGACCCATTAGGAAAATTGTATGGGAATATCCCAATAGCTGACTACGGCATTGATTGGATGGCGGAGACCAAACATTTTCCTGATTGTAAAACTTTTTTTTTTACAAACCAATAATACATTTGGAATATATGTTGTAATTAACTATGTAATTATGTAATTTTGTAAAAGTAATTTGGCATGCTGGAATGTCGCGCACCAGCGATTTTCAGCATAATAAGGGTTAATACAAATGTTGGAAAAAATGAGTACCATGGACATTTCCGGAGTGTCAATCAAACTCTCCGATCAGAACAAGGCCAGAAATGTGTGTTTTCTACAAACAAATGTGTCTATTAGGTACATTTACACTACAGTAGAACCCCTCATTTACGAACCCTGATTTTACGAATTCCCGATTTTACGAACGTAAAATCATGTAATTATTGTCATAAATAAAGTTCCTATTTCATGAACAAAACACACACCCGTGTCAAAAATTAATCGACGGTTTGCTGTACACTATCAGCGATCTCTACTACAGATAGTGTGCTTTGAATACACCGACATTCAACATGGCGATCATACTTTATGTCTGCAGCCGTGAGAAAACTCTGCCCAATGCGTAACTTTTCGGCGTATCGATAGGCGCATGATTTATTCATCTCTGAATACACCACCCTCATATCGTAATTTAATGAACCCTCTAATTATGAATGGAATTTATTTATCAAATCTAACTAATGTTAATCTACCATTTCATTATTTCCTCCATAAAATAAGACACGGACACCCACATTTTCTTTTTATAACTTTATTATTCATTTAATAAATGCAGGCGGAGAACAATCGTATTGCATACAAAAAAAGTCCAAGCGCCGTGTCTACAGCCAATCAGCGCTCTTTTAAAAATTGAGAACCCCTGGTTTCCGGGTTATTCTGTACAGGGTATTTACATGACGCCACAACCACATGGATCAAGTGAAAAACATTGGTTACTTGCCCTGTTGCGGCACCCGCTAGGCTGTGTTTCTTCATAAGCTAGAAGATAAGTCATATATTATTGCCTGAGAAAGAGAGAATAAAGTTTCTATACACATTAACAAGTATGTATAGTACTGTACATTATTATGATCGTTATTTTGAATTTCTTTCGAGCGCAAGTTGGAGTTTTGGCTCCAGTCCAACAAAATTTAAGTCCAGGCCTAGCCTAGCCCAGCCTAGCATATCGGTAGTGTAAATTAGTGTGTATGGTTAAAGGTAGTGCGCCCTTTAACCATACACACAGATCCTTGGCAAGTTCCTAGATATCTTGTGAACTTTTTTTTTTTACCGATATAGAGAGATATCTTTGGTATTTTTATAAGGATGTGCATTTTTACAACCAGCTAGGGAAACTATCCTTGATACAATTTGTTTATTTTTTTCAGTAACATTTCTGTTGGTGAAATTAATAACTTTGCAATAATTGTGGTAATTAAAATTTTACTTATTATCATACTTTGTATAGATCAATGCTTCTGCAAAGTTTTAGAAGGATACAAAATATTTTGTCAATCTGCAAATAACCAAACTTTAACTCTATTTATTTTGAAAATTAAAAATTTGCGTCACTTTGCTTTAAACAGCCGGGCAGATAAAAGCTAAAAAGTATATTGCATTTTAATTGAAAATTCAAAAGAAAAAATAGCTTCTGTCAATTTACAGACATTATACTGTTAATTAGTCTTTCAATGAGAGGAAAATATTTGATCAAAACAAACTAGGTTGGCTGATCAGGCAAAGCCCATTAATAATCATTTTCTCCATAGAGTACCACAGTTGTGTCATCAAGACGCCAGGTAGCACCCTCTCTTGCCAACCAGACATTGGTTACCGTTCATTACGCCTGAATGACCCTATAGGCTTTCTGGAATAGGCCTTTTAAAATCTAATATTTTACCATCGAAATGAACTAAAAACACAAAAGCTCGCATTATATTAGTTATCAAACACACATTTATTCATCAATTAAAAGTTACAAAGAAAAACTAAAGGCTAACTCAGACAGCGTCGGCCGACGCAGCCCGACTCGATTTATCATCGGGGACAGTCTTAAGCCGTCGTGAGAAATATTAAACATGTTTAATATTCTACTACGCAACTGCCCCCGACGCACACCATCGCATCTGTGTTTAACTCACACAGATCCGACGCGACAACAAATCGCGTCGGGCTGCATCGTACGACGCTGTCTGAGTTGGCCTTAAGATACAACATCTTAATAGTTACGTTAGAAATTGCGATCAATGGTTTGTCAGTGGGGAAAATGGCATCCAGTTGAATGCATTTTGCACACATAAACGTAAAGCTCTATCCAGACTATTAAACTTTCTTTGAGTAAAAGCTAATTGTATGCTAATTGTATGCCGATAATATATAGTCATGATGTGCCTATACGAGTCTCACCACGAAATGTGATGCATCGTTGGTGAAATCATATTGAGATATTGACCAAAATAGGTTTATAAAGTCAACATTTGACATTTTCAAAATTTTCAGTTTGATTTTAATATTTTTGAATAACTTGATACTTATTATTTTATGATTATTATTAATTTTCTTACTAAAATAATGTTCTCTGCGCATATTCTGTAACTCTAGTCCTATTATTTGTACAGGTTAGTTGTCTTTGAGGTCGATTTTCTCAAAACATGGTTTTCAAACACCTAAACTTTCAATGCACACATCTCTGGATCTGCTTATTCTAGGGAAGCCATTCAAAGACCAAATTAAAGCTTATATGTATCCTACCACAAATATAATAAAATTTATAAACTCAATTTTTCATTTTCTATTCCATGACACTCATTTTGTGGTGAGACCTCACATATATGCTCATGATATTGTATTATTGTATATCAGACATGGGACAGATGCAGTGAATATAGTGATAGCGCCATCAATAAATAAATACCTACTATAGCACTCTGTATGTTAAAAAACTGTACTACAGCATCCTGTAGGTAGCAATATGTTCTAGTGGCTTCTACTACATGTTTTTATTATCAGGAGTGTAAGTCAATATCTAGGCTAGACCCACCCATGCGAATGATGGCCAATGCAACTTTCTGAAGTGTCTATCAAACTTAGGCGCAATCAAATTAATCAAAACGACAAATCTGCGTCCAGACGCGTTTTCTATTGTTATACCTAAATGCGTCTGAAAACACCGTTTGGATAGGGCACTGTTTGGACGCCGATATTCCGTTTGGACTTTGCTCCTCCCCTTTTAATACGTCCGAGTGCATGCATCGTAAAACGCGTCTAGACGTTCTCTTAGCACCTTCCCTATACTCAAGACCGAACGTTTACCCGCTTTGCGAACGTCTTGCATACAATTTTAAATCTACCGCAAATGCCGGTCAAATTAAGTCTGGTCATACAACTAATTCATAATCGGAAAAATGTAGACCACACCATTTGCTGCAAATTTAAAGAACATCGCTAACACAGTAGTAGGCCTACTTACCATCTTCTTGCCTGAGATTTTTTCACTCGGGTCTCCATTTATTGGCTAAGAATTTTCACACAGTTATCAGCAGTCTATTTTTAGTATATATGACTTCCTTGACTGTCAATATAAATAGACTGGTTGTGAATGCAACATTCTCAACTGTCTATTTTTAGTGACTGACCCGGCACTATAAATAGACTGGTTGTGAATGCAACATTCTCAACTGTCTATTTTTAGTGACTGACCCGGCCTTTACTCGTCGACAAAATCAATTCTTCATTTGTATATTTTCCTTAATAATTCCATGTTTTTTAATTTGTAGTGGGATTATTTTCATCTTAAAAAAATTTAGTTTCTCAACTACAATGTATTATTTTATGCAGGCCTATTTATATTTTATTATGTGAATAAAAATACCAAGATGATAAATATACCAGTTTTTATTTGATTTAAATTATGCTTTACTTTAATTTTGTATCCTGTTCGTGGTTTCCATTATTATTATTATTATTATTATTATTATTATTATTATTATTATTATTATCATAACACAAAATGTTATGCAGCAAAACACGCACACATTCAAACACTTTCACTCTTCAAATAAATCATAATATGCAACAAAACAAGTACAAATGAAAGGAAACACTTTTTTGGTAACAACATATTTTAATTTGACAAAATGTTGAATTAAATTACAGTATGTACAATATTTTAAACGATACAAGTGATTACAGACACTGGGTTTATTGTTGAAGCGGTGAGCACGGCACTTGCCGTTTACTGCCTCCTTCAGGGCCCTTTCGCACTTAACAGTTGACCCTGGAAACTCTGTTTCCACTTGTCTAAATATAGCCAGCATCCTATTGGGGGAGAGAGACTCACGCTTTATCTTCTCCCCCTGCAGTACAACGGCTGTGCCGTTTAAATTGCACCTGCTAAGTTCGTCTGCACTGAACATGCAGTCCACCAACTGCCTAATAAATGACGTCGCAGTTGTACTGCTGGCCAATGACCGATGGTAACGCTCGTCGCTAAGGGGACACATACCCCCGATCATTACAATGCCACCTGCATTCGGTACCAGCTTCGGTGTTGGTGCAAGAAGCAGCGAAGGTACTGGTTTCGGCGTTGGCCTCTCAAGTTGTGGTGCGGCTGTTTTTTTTTTTTTTTTTTTTTTTTTTTTTTTTTATCTGGGACGGATCCAGAATTTTTCAAACGGAAGGGGATGGGAAGGGGGCA